GCTGCTGTATGACGCAGTGATTAGGCGTCTCCCCAAGGTACATGATTTGCAGATGCTGCGTAAATCGCGTTTAGTTTCATAACATGTCACTCCTCAGAATGCTATTGCACAGTCATTTGTGTCATCCTGGGCCCTTTGTTTTGTTGGTATTTAGCTTCATGCTGCCACTTTAACTGCTCGAAAGCTATTAATGTAAGTCAATTTATGAACGAATGTCGGAAAGGGCTACAATTAATTGACTCTATTGAAGGAAAATGGTCTCTACAAAAGGCTCCGTTAAGAGAAATGTTGGAGCAGATTTTTTTTGCTGTGACTTTGATGCAACTTACTGTTCTTAATTTAATAGTTTGAAACATTGAACTTGGCGTAATACATCAACAATTTCACGACTTTTTATATTCGGAATGAAAAAGTTTAATGTTGTCAACTAATTTGTGTTTAATCCCATGAACATTTCCATTTCCTTGTGACATTAGCTTAATTTATTATGATATTATATTATCTTAAGTTATCAAGATTTCAGACTCAATCGGTGATAATACTACCGTATAGGTTACGATTCTTCTTTGAGCATATACTAGGGTACTCGTTGAGTTGGATTAGTTGTCTTCCTGGATTAGTTCTACTTATTTCGAAAATCTATTTTACTCCTCAGTTTGCTTAACATTCAGCAGACAACTATGGTCGATTCGATCTTCTGCTCTCCATATGTTGCGCCAGCAATTTTCATGGCAGACAAAAAGAAAATGTCTAGCGCCATCTATGTTCTTGACTGTACCGTGGAAGTCTGTGCCCGCGAGGAAATAGCCTGGGTATTGCATGACTAAGGCAATTGGTTGTTTGCCCATTATCCTTCAGATCCGACATGCACCATTTTGCTGTTTGAATTGTGCCCAAGAAAAAGACCCGATTTTCGATTACGGCTGTCTGGGAAATTTATATATTTCCAATACGGATGAACGACTTGTGTTTTTGTCCCACATGCAGACAAGCGAAGTTGATTTGATGAGCTATCACCATTATACTGGGCCATAGAACTGGGTTTTATGCGACGGAGGTGGCCAATGACTTAACATTGCATGATATACAGAGGCATTGTTGGTTTAGTGTTGTGCTGACTAGACACTATTAATCTACCATTATCGAACCGGCTCTCGTGCAACTCAAGGCTCTGTACTTTTTATTCAGAGGGATATCCTACCCTGTTTTGATTCTCATTTAGATGGAAAACTGCATGCACTTCAAGAATCATGTCAAAATTGAGATTCCCAATTACTTATGATAGAGTTTTGCACACCTGCGTGACTGGCTCTCAGAACTACATAGGTTGTAATCAACTCGCTTGTTCGCTCTTAGGTATCTCACTGGCATGCAATCGATTGCTCTTGGCATCAGGAGGCGTGATTGCCGGTTGTCATACAGTCTATGTCGAGCACATCACATACCGCAACGGCCGGGACATGCATCCCGTATCCTGGCTACAAACGTGCCGTATGTTCGAATGAAATTTAGAACCAGCATCAGCATTAGGCAAGCATATGACGATGCGGTGAAAGTTCTTGAAGTATTAAATTTGCACTAGACAACAAGTTTGTAAGTTTGCATGCTATTTAATTCGAGAAGAAATGGTTAATTAAGTTATTCTTCTCTTTGTTATTTACACAAAATTCTGTTGTTTTTTTAAATGTCATGTAATCGAAACTATTTACACACGCAGAGATTTTTTTGCAGATATAAAAAATTCCTGTCACGCAGCTAGTCTCTCGTGTGTAGGTAATTTAGAACAAAAGTTAGTAATTGTACTTTACTCTGGATCTCTGCTCAGGAAATGGGCCAACAGATGATAACATCAGAAATTGATTGTTGAATATACTTTTCTAAAGGAACTCATAAAAAAACTTGAAGCGTTTCGGGGATATTTTTAGAATCGTCGTCCATCTTATAAGTAGGATGTATCTATTCATTTACAAAGTTCCTGTGTCAGTCGGACTCATGATTTCCCCAGAGATATGTTTTGTTTGCACGTTGCCCACCACTCCTGGTTTGAGACACCAACTATAGTCTATCAGATTTTATCGGCTTGTCGGAGCAGCAGGTTTGCTGTGTACAACTGCTGCACTGTTTGAATTATTGCGCCGTGCAGCTGCCGGTCAATAGTTAGTATACCGTTCATCGAATAACGCTATTATAGTTTAGCGTTTCTTCTCCATCTTTCGGCATAAATAGCTGCTATCAAAGAAGTTACTTCTTACACTATCGGAGTATGATTATCTATGTTCAGCATGCACGAATTAAATTGAAATTTCAGTAATTTATCTTTATTCTCCTGATACTTTCCGACTTGAAAATTTTAGACAAAGGACCGCCAATTTTCGTGGTTCTCTTGCCTTGCTCTGCATTTGTTGACCACCCTTTTGTTAGTTGTTTATCAAGTGACATATCTTCAGAAGACTGGACACACCTGCCAGCTCCGCACTCATTGTTCTCAGAGGCCTTAGAAGGTTCTTTGGTCGGACATTTTCACCACACTTGGTTAGTTGTTCCAACATTTCCACCAGACTGACCAATGATTCGGGACCGAATTGTCGTCGAATGGCATAGCCGATGGTTATCGGTAGTTTCGGTCCCTGTAGTTTCCTTTTTAGTAGCCACATCGACCAGCGCGCTCTGTATTTACTTCCTATGAAGCCTAAATTCTCTGAACAAAATCATAACCGTGAAAGTGCCTAACTTTTGTTATTGCTCAAGATTTATTTATTTTATTCCGCCTGTTTGTACTTCAATGCTATTTTTATGCGTCCGACGCTTATGTGTAAAATTATTATGGTTGATTAATGACATTGTAACGTTCTGTCAGAGTGACTCAACAGTTTGTGGTTTTAAATTGTGTAAAAAATCCTCACTCCCGTTTCTAAGATTTACATTCGTTATTAAGCGAAAAAATGTCACTGCAAGACAATTTTATGAAAACCTGCCTTGTTCAGAAAACTATGTTAAAATGATTTTATGCAATATTTACCTAACATGTGATGTTTTCAAATAGAAATGTAACTGCTTAACCAACATCAAAACGAACAACTGAAAAAGAAGTAATCATTTACACAGTAATGGCTTGAAATTTTCACTGAACTTTCTCGGTGAACTGGTCTCTAATGTTGCAATTTAATTCATTGGTCACGGTTTGTGAAAATTAATGTACAAGTCAGTGTGGTTAGGATTCTTTATGCTTCAATTTATTTTGCATTAAACTAATTTTTCTCACTAGTCACATTCCTAGTTACCTGTTTCTAGGTACGACAATTTACAGCGTATCAATATTATGCATTGAAGCCGATTCTCCTTTGTCGTCCTACGTATAAGTCATGACGTGAATACAAATCTAACATGGATGACATATGAATGTCGTGATACAAATCTGATTTAAAATGCAGCAGCCCCGTTAATAACAGTAATATTATTAGAAGGGGTCATTTATTTATTGCTTATAAGAACAGCACTAACATTGAGTTGATCTTAATTTTTTCGCTGAGCCAAAGCTTTGCAACATTCATTTTTTTTTTGTTTTGTGCATTACTACTCAGCACTGATCTTCAACGTAGTAAGCGTAGAGTCGAGTAGAGTGGAGACGAGTATAGTTAAGACTCTTCAAGTTACTTTGAATGTGTAGGTGCATTAAATTTCATGGTAGAAAGAAATGCTTCAATTTCTTTCAAAAAGGAACGCAATCAATCTTTAGTTGGCATCGGCGCATCGTTCGCTTCTGAAATGTGTTGAACTTTTCGGCAGATTCCATTAAAGGCTTTGAGTGTTGTACCGGTCGGCAGGCTCGTTTGTGTAGCCCATTATCCTGTTTATCTTGAACTTGAATTCAAATTAGCCATGTTTATGCAGCGATTAGCCGCGTTTATGCAAAGATTCAATACTTGACTTAAGAAAAACTCGTCCAACTGATCGGGTGATTTGATGCTACGTCCAGAATGACCCTTGGGCTTTACAAAAACTTGGTCTGATGCTCGACTGATAAAGTGAATCGAACGTTCGGACTTGAAATAATTATTGTTCAGGCGAACATTGACGGAGTTCGATATTATTTAAGCCTTGACTCGAAAGTATAATTCCAACCATTTCGAAAAATGCTCTCAATTATTTCGCTCGGCAGATTTTGTGATTAGAAACTCAGTTTATTTTTTAATTTTATTTGCTGCTACAAAGAACACAACTCGATCGCGTTGAGGCTATGTAATGTGCCTTGAAATGTCAGTATTTATATAATGTTTTCAACGTTGTTGATAGTTGACTGGCTCGTCGATTAACGATTAACTATTTCGAAAAAATCCTGACGTTTTTTAATCTTGGAAGCAAATCCTGCCTTTTATATAAATGCAAAAAATCTTATTTCTTTTTAGCTGTTTAATGTTCTAATTGAATTTTGGGTCAGTCAAATATTCAATGTATATATTTCTTTCGTATCTGCTGCAAAATTTTATCTAGTGCTGTGAGATACTTGCAATATTCGGTTGCCCGATTCCGTATTCCCGCTTTGCAGCGCTCGTTCTGGTTATAGGCACGGATGAGTTTCACTTGTGCCTTCTTTTAATTTCAACTTGAAATGTTTCTCACACGAATGATAAATATTAGGAACAAAAACTTAAGCGAATAAAAAATTATTTCTTGATGTTCATAGACTAATTTGTTAATGTTTTAGGAAGTAACGTTTTATAGATAATAAAATATGAACTAGTACGTATATATATTCGAAATAAATTATACTACAAAATTGATTAGTTACACGAGATAGTTTATTGCTTTGAATGCATAGATTTATTATTTTCAATAGGTATATAGGTTAGGTACCGTATGTTACATTAATGTTTTTATATTAGGGTTTGCAAATTTTTTAAATGCATTAAAATCATTGTAAAATTTAAATGTAGAACAGGGTTTAAAAATGATGCTTCATGGGCACAAAATTATGCGTCTTTTATTATTTATTATTTTTTTGTTATTATGTTCCGATGTTTTTCGAGGGACGCCTTCGGCTGTCTCTAAATATGATCAAATTCATGAGTTATATTGTATCCCATTTACCAGAACATGTAAACACTAAAGTTTTTTTCTTGTGCAGGTGTACAATTAGACGTGGCTTTGTGGTCAGAACTTGATAGTACAAAGTGTCACATAACTCACTCAAGTGACGTAAAGAGATAAAAATTTAAAATATAGTCAATTATTCATGTGTGATTCGTAAAACTTCAAGATAACAATGAGTTTTCAGTGATGTAACTGTTCAGTCGGCATGAAAAAGCATTTGTTCTCGGTAGCCCAAGAAGGGCTGCTGTCCATGTGCCGCTGTAACGACGATCTCCGCCCGCATTGACCATCACCGCCTCATGCATGGCCGCCATGGGCATCACAGGCCACCGTCGCAGCATCAACGGCGACCAACTCCGCAGAGTTGACAGGCTTGTGCCGCGCACCCTTCAGTCGCTGATCTTGTGGACTCTGTTGGGCGTGGCTGCGGCGCGGAGGGACGACGGGACGGCCCGACCAGCTCTGTTCTCGCCTACCTGTCACCTCTCCGTCCAAGAGATCGGGGTGACAGCCGTAGGGCCAGAGGGGCTCAGAGCCGCGTGTAACTTGCGTACTCTGAGGTCGGAAATTCTCCAGCCCGGCCATTTCAACAATAGTACCTTGAGTGCAGTTAATCACAGCCAGCACGTCACCTCGCTTCACTTGCAATGTTCTCGACAAGTGGTTTTTGAGTCAGAACTGCAGCCCGCTGCGTTTGCTGCCTTCCCTCGGCTGCAAGAGCTTTCTTTAGATTCCTGTAAACTTAAAGAACTTCCCGATCGAACATTTGCAGGACTGCCACAACTCAGGCGACTGTCAATCTCAACACATCACGAAGATTGGCCTGGAGCAGTCCTCTCACTGAGCAAAGACGCTCTGACAGAACTACCTCGGCTGGAATATCTTGATTTGTCCGAGAGTGAGTTGTGGCAGATACCGGAGGGTACTCTGTGCTCCAGCAAATCTCTGACTACACTCAATGTTACCCACAATCGTATTCATCGTCTTTCAGATCTTGGGTTTCACTCTCCGTGTTTTGCTCCGGTGGCACATCTCTACCTCAGTCACAATGACGTGGACGAGCTGCCTGCGAAGGCCTTGCCCACTCCGCACCTTCACACCTTTCATCTCGACCATAATAAGGTGGCTCGTGTTGATGACTACGCCTTCAGAAATCTGGCCGAGATCAAAGACCTCATTCTTAGCTATAATAAACTGGTAGCACTTCCTCAAGCTGCCTTCCTAGATCTTTACCAACTAAAAAATCTTGATCTTGCCAACAATAGCTTATCATCTCTACCGCCTTCATTATTTTCCTCTCTTGGACAACTATTATCGTTGAATATTAGTCACAATCAACTCACTTTTTCTTTTGACAACCCCGAGCCCTTCATTGGTCTCATACGATTAGTCGTTCTAGATCTTTCTTACAACAAACTTATTGACCTAAGGAGTCAAGTTTTCAATCATTTGTACTCCCTTCAAGTGCTCTTCCTTTCCAACAATAAAATTACTTATTTGAGTGACGGGATATTTTCTTATCTGGCAAATCTTCACACTCTAGACCTTTCTGATAATAAATTATCAATTTTAGAGAGCGGAACTCTTAAAGGACTTTCTGTGCTCACTCATTTCTTCGTCGACAATAATTCAATTGAAATAATATCCGATGCTTCTTTCCGTAATAGTTCTTCTCTTCAGAAGTTGAGCGTCACAGGCAATTATATTGTCGAGATACCGAAAGCAATCACATCGCTAACACTTCTACAAGTACTCGATTTGAGTCGTAACCAAATCGCAACCCTCGAGCGATCTAACTTAAAAGGACTGAATAATTTAAAGCATCTTTCTCTTCGACAAAACTTTATTGGCAACATTAGCATCGATGCCATACCTCGTATGGCTCATCTTGAATTTTTAGATTTATCCAGCAACATGATAGGAGGCGTGGAGCCTGGGGCATTCGAACCTCTAACAGAGCTCAAAACTTTGAACCTGTCTCACAATTACCTGAGCCACGTGAACGGCATAGCTGCGCCTCTTCCCAAACTTCTGCACTTCGATATCTCTCATAATGAAATTGAGTGGTTCGACTATGCCCTGATACCTAAAAATTTATTCGCTCTCAATCTTAATGGAAATAGGATTAAAGTTATGGAAAATCATTTTGAAGTGCATGATAAACTCAATTTACGAAGAATATTTGCTGCGAATAATTCAATTACAGCAATTAATTACACTTCTATACCAAATGGGATCGAAGTTATTGACTTCAGTGACAACCTCATTGACTACGTCAGCTCAAATACCTTCCTTCTGAAAGACCGCGTAAACGAAATTAATCTTGAAAATAATCAACTTATGTTGTTGGAGGAATCTTCTCTGAGGCTTCCTCCTCGGTCACCGGAGGCCACGTCGGCCTCTCCTCCCCTTCTGCTGCTCTCGAACAACCCTCTCAAGTGTGACTGCGGGGCGGAATGGTTGTCCCGAGCTGCACGGGATGCCGTAGGGGACAGAATATTGACCCAACAATCCACCGGGTCATTCCTCCCAAGACTGGGCAAAGTAACCGACATCAAGTGCACTTTGCCGGGACTGTGGCAAGATGCGTCCGTGCCTTTGGTAAACGTGCACCAACACCAATTTTTGTGCACCTATCGGAGACATTGTTTCACTCTTTGCCACTGTTGTGATTTTGATGCTTGTGATTGTGAGCAAACTTGCCCCGACAATTGTTTGTGCTACCATGATCACACTTGGAACCACAATATTGTAGATTGCGGCAAACAAAATTGGACTGCAATGCCTCTAGGCGTGCCAATGGATGTCACTGAGGCGTTTTTGGACGGTAACAACATGGGAAACTTGACTTCTCACGCTCTCATAGGAAGGAAGAACCTGCGAGTCCTATATCTCAATAATTCAAATATAATTGATATTCAAAACAGAACTTTCAACGGATTAAGGAATTTGAAAGTTCTTCGACTGGACCACAATTACTTGGAAAAACTTCATGGTTATGAATTTGTGCTTTTACACAACCTGCTTGAACTTTACATCAATGATAATTTAATCTCGCACGTTGCCAACACAACCTTCACGTCACTGAGGTCCTTGGAAGTTCTTCGCTTGGAAGGTAACAGAATATCAACGTTTCCCGTTTGGAACTTGGGGCTTAACCCCTTCCTTGTGGAAGTGGGTCTCCATCGTAACCGATGGAGCTGCGAGTGCAACTACTTGGCAAATCTAAGAGCGTGGCTGGAAGCCAACCGCATAAAAGCGAGTGAAGTGAACGAAATAAGCTGTTTTCATCAAAGAAGTGGAAAAGAAGGACCTAGGGTTCTTTCAAACTCGCCTGGTCATTGCGATCATTTTGTAGCTACAGCCCATATGAACAACCTAATGGTAAATGATTATATTATGTTTTCAAGTATCAGTGTTGGTATAATCATTGTAATTCTTGTTCTTGTTTTTATTGGTGTAGTGTATAGAAGAAGGATCAAATTATGGGCCTCTAATCAGTACTCGAAAAACTTGTTCGAAAAGAGCTCGTCATTCGTTGAAGAGCGTGAAAAGCTTTTCGATGTATTCATTAGCCATAGTAATAAAGACAGTACTTGGGTATACAGCGTATTAGCTCCTGAATTGGAAGTTAGAGGCTACCGAACGTGTGCAGTGTACAGAAACTGTTCGTCTCCAACAGCCTCCTTCGTAGCCCAGGCCATGTCAGAAGGCATAGCCTGCAGTAAGCGACTTATGCTCGTTGTGTCTCGAGGCTTGGTCGATAGTGAATGGTGTAAATATGATTTTAAGAGCACTCACGTCGATGCCATAAAGAAACTATCGAATAAAAATATAATTCTAGTTAATTTAGATGATATTCCTAAGAACGAGTTAGACTCGGAAATGATTAATATTATTAGAAAAGCTTCTTTTAGTTTCAAACCACGTGATCCTAGGTTTTGGGAGCGCTTGAGACGAGCACTTCCTTCTCTCCGACACAGAAGACGTTATGAAGATTCTACCGGCATCGGAAAGTCGGTTAGTTCGCCTCTCGTGGTGGCCGATGTCCCCACGTCAGATTTGGCAAAATATAACTGCCACCAAAACAAAAATTTGACACTAAACCCTTATTGGGAAACAGCTATTACTTCTAATGTCCCTGAATGGAACATGAAAAAACCGGACCTTGGAGCTCCACCTTGGTACCAAGTGACTTCGGTCAAGTGCGGCCACTCGCCTTCTTCGTCATCTCGTCCACCTGAGGCAGACCACACCTACATGTCAGTCAGCGAATGTGATGACACTACAAACTCTCAAACTGAAGCATTTGCTGCCCTTTCTTCGTCAGGTGCAACGCAAGGTGTTCACCCTTCATCCAAATCGTCCGTCCCTCTGCTTGTAAACGGTTCGGCATCAGGCCAGTTAAGTCCTCCATTACTATCGTTGAGACATCAACATTCAGTTCAGAATAGAGCAAACCATTACCAAGATCCTCAACAATACCAAAATCCACACACACTACGTCCTTCCCAAAGCCACCATAACCGTACTTCTCCTGAGGCCACACACAGTCTCCTCTTAAATCGTCCGCCCGGCTTCCGCACGCCGTCCGTCACCGCGAGAAACCTTAAGGACGAAAGTTCGGGAGGGCCTCGCATGGCGAACAATAACAATCCAAACTGTAATGCTGACTCACCATCCATTGATATGAACGAAGAAAATGAAATGGAACAGAAATACCCTCCAATGTTGACCCGTCCTGATGAAGCCCGTAATTCATCTCAAAGAGTTGACGTTCCATCCAGCGTAGCAGGTACAGCATGGATCTACCAGTCTCCTGTCAATCTTCCATCGTCTCCTAGTGGCCAAACATACTATGTGTAATCTATATAGGCTCGGACTTCGCAGCTGAGCAACTAGCGTAGACGAAATATTTTCTAACTTGCACGAATATTTTGTTTTCTGTTCCGAGTGCATGTGTTTTTCTAATTAAGCATGGAAGTGCAGTGAAAACGTGTTACCAGATTGTTAAAAAATATGAAACGAACTTTTCCAATTGAAATTAATTATTTCATTGAAATTATTTAAATTATTTCTCCATTTGTTTGATGATCTCTTTGAAGCAAGAATGGAGAGAGTAGAAGAAATGACAATTTCCTAAAGAAGTATTAATTAAATAATTTCTTCCGTACTTCCAGCCTTTATTGGTAAATATAATGATTAGATCTAAAATTGCTAAGTACAGCTAGAAACAAACCCAGTGATATAAACCAAACGCCGTCCCCTCCACATCTTCTTTATCCTGAAATTATCTGCGCCCACTTTCCATTTAGGCGTCACTCGACTGCATTTGAATATCATAGTCGCCTTGCCGTCCTGTATTATGTTGCATTTGTTCACTGCTCCCTCTATACTCTGGCTGGTTGTTCTTGCATGACCATTTTGAAGTGCAACGCTGCTAAGACATACCCCTGTATTCGTTTTATATTTATTACAATTGTCACTCGGTCGAATTTATTCAATGTGATACGCTGACTTCTTGTATGATAGCGGTCCATTAAAAAATGAAGCATTCATCGATAATCCCAGCCCAAAGTTCTTGTGCATAAAAGCGGTTTTTGCCTTTAAAAATTATTTCGAAAATTTCGGTTAATCTTATTTCGAATCACCTATTCCTAAGTTCTCGGGAAAAAACGACTCTTAAGCCTTTGCCCGAGAGCATGAATTTTTTCGCGTGTCGTTTCCTTTCAAAAATATTGTCATGTTTGCAATGCAGAGGTTTTTATTGTTTGTCTATTTCTATTTCTATTCCCATTTGTTCTATTCTATTGTCTATTTCCCATTTGTTCAACTACCTTAGCATATTATCATGACACCTATTTAATAATTCACGATTTCACGTAGCATGACATTTTTCGATGATTTTCAGTCAATTAAAGAATAATCAGTCATGTAATATATCCTGCTTGATGCTATGGTGCCGAACGCAGCCAATAAAGGAGCTCTAATAAGACCAGCCTCAGATGTCCAATAATGTACTGCAAACGCCACCATGAAGAACACACGCTCCGGCCGCCGTCGGTGCAGTCGGGGGTGCAGTCCTGTCCCTTTCTTTGCGTTCGCAAGGAGATGCTCGGATCAATAAGAGTTGGGGACGAGTGCTCTTGTTTTAGCTACTCGAAGTCTCCTGCTGCTTTTATTATGCATGGATTTTTTCTATTGCAATTCATTTTTTGCTAATCCACCATTCCTGTACGCTGTCCAGAAAGGTCGATATTCTTTGGTAGTCGCAAGTATTTCGATGTTTCATGTCATGTATGAATGTATGAGTAATTTGCTCGCTTCAGGTTCAAGTTTTCTTTAGATTGAAAGTAGGATTTACAGAAAAATTTGCATTTAAAAAAAATAATCGGATTTCGGTTTTCACAGTTTTTTCACAGTTTTTTCTAACAGACTAGGAATGATGCACTCACGAGGAGCTCTCAAATTGCGTCTTACATCATCATATATAGGGAGAGAAAATTTTGCATATCTTGTTTCTATGTACTAACGTCTTGACAATATTGCTGCCATCGAGTCAGATTCCGCTTACATTTTTACTTTCGATATTGTTTATCAGGAATGTAATCAAGGACGCGAATGAGTCTTGTGGTTTTCACTGCAACCCGCTTTCAAATTCTGTTCCTCATACGTGCCAATTTCCTCCTCCTAGGATTTCAAGATTTGCCCATTTTACTGGTCCAATTTGAACTCGTGGCTTGTGGTTTTTTGTCTTCAAACTTTTCTTTCGCAAGGTAAAGGTGGCAGTGTTTGCCGGGGTCCCCTTAGCAAACATCATTAGGCCATGTTCAATCATCGTGTGCAGGCCGCGTTTCATTGACGCCATCCATGATTTTCGCTGCAGTAATGCGATATCCGCCGCCTCTAAGGCTTTAAAAAGGCATACCTCCACATTGCAGCGCTCTTTTTTTGCTACCAATAATTGCTCGGTCTGCGCTCCAAACTGCAGGGCATTTTTTTATGTATACCACAATGATATGGTTGGATTTGAACAATGCGTGTTACAATTATATAAAATTTGTGGAATGTTTTGGAATTGTTTTCACCTGCAAAAAATGCAACTGATATCATTTATGGCATTTTACTTTTTGTGGAGACTTTATAAATTCTATTGACTGACATTATGCGGATTGATTTATTCAAGATTTTTACAGATAAATTATAGGCATTTAAACGTTAATGGTATTTTTTTCTGGCTTGGCAGACTTAGAGAATTGTTCTAATCTAGTCCGATTGTCCTAACATGCGATGCCACATATTTTTTCTTGCTTTTGATGCAGACATCGATAGCCTGCAGTACGAGATAGAGATATTTGCGAAAAAATATAAACTTATTAACTTAAATGCTTTTTGAATTGGACCAATTAAAAGTTTAGTTTTCGCTTTTGCAACCAACATTAAAAAAACAATCAGTCTAATTAATCTGACAAAGTTTATGTAGCTGGGACATGCGTAATTCGAATTATTGGTGTATAGCTCATTTTTTTCCTTTTGTAACTCGATACCTACATGTTTCTTTTGCGTTTTTTTGCAGGCTTTCGATAAGCTCAAAATTACCAAAGCATATGGATGAGTTTTTCAATTCCTAGTTTATTTTCCGTTCTGTTTAGCATTAATCATTATCCATCTTTATTTAATTCGTTCGTCCTGTCAGCCTAAATTAATTGTTTTGGAAATTCCAAATTTAAATTCAAGATTATTCTTGTTATGTTTCATGAATTGCTGCCATTTTGTTCTATATTTGAAATCATCGATAACAAAAGTATTCCTTAATTAGGCTGAAAATGCAGCACAATAAAAAGTTTTTTCTTGGATAAAAATCTCTATTGAAATTTTTTTGGTATACAGAGAGAATTTTAAATTCTGTTTTATTATGTCAAACATAGATCGAACGTGCTGCTACTCCGTAATTCTACCTTAATTTCTTTGGTTGTCAATATCTTGCAATTTTATTATTGAGTACTTTGTAAATATATGATATTCCATTGTTTATCGGGACTGCATGAATGCACTTACAAAGCATGTAAGGAACAAAAGTTGCGCACGTTTATTGTGCAGTAAACTAGCCATATATAAGCCGGAATATTCTTCGCATGTGCAATATAATGTGTGTACTATACGCTTCTCCGTCTCTCTGATTTTGTATTTATCGCTGTAATTGACGTGATTATATAAACATGATCGTATGAACGTGTATTTTGTACTAGCCAATAAGCCTAATTGTAGACGATAATTAATTTCATTGTGAATAACGGTATCGCGCTCAAAAACTGTAATTCGGCATTTTGTACTCAAAATTATCTTCTTATGGTGTGTTAATTATTTTCTGTTATTTTTTGTAGGTGGGTTCATTGTCATCTGTTGTTTATAATTGATGATGATTTTATTAGTCTTGTTGTTGTGTTTTAAGTATCGGAAAAATTAGGATTGAATTCCCAATTATCTATAAATAATGAAATTGCCAGGATATAATGATCTCGCGTTAAAATATTTCAGCTTCGCTGTTGTTAGTGACCATTTCTGAAGTTTGTGCGAAGTTTGAAATTCCACTTTCCCATCACATATATATGTATAACTTTCGTGTCCTACTTCCCGTTCAAATTATCATTTCTTTCATAAAATTCAATAGTTTTTCTCTAATATTACGCAAATCAACCTATTCAGTTGAAATACTACTCAGAATAGTACCATATTGATGCTATAAAAATTATTTGTCGCATTTAATGCTAGTGTATATATAGGCTGTAAAAAGAGGAAGGGAAGCCCTCAAACTACTCCGTCTCATCGATTTATTAACTAGCATGTAATAAAGAACGTTTCATGTATTATATCTGAATTTTCATTCTCCTTCCTTTGATGCCCGAAATTTATTCAGGACGACAATAAAGAACCAATATTTTCGTTTAAATATGTGAGGAACTGGTACATTTTCATACTCTGTTATAAATTATATGGATTTAGATTGCACATGAGTCAGATTTATTACTTGCAAGTAAATTCATCCAACAACTATCCACGTAAAGTTTCTGATTTACGACAAATCTCTTATGCTGTTGTAGGTCAGGGCTTGATAAAAAAAATGAAGAGCAAAGGTAAGACATTTTTTCAAGTTATGAGCACTAAAATCGGTATTTTAAATCCAAAGACACAATTTCGCACAAAATTTTTTCAACGATGAAAATCAAACATGACGTGTGACGTTGCACTGCAAGTTTGTTTCGGCATAATGGGCGAGAAAATTTTTGTGTCACTCGAGCGCGACAGGCGGGCAGGCTGTCTAGCTCGGCCAGTTCCGCACTTTCTGTAAGATCGTCTTTTCTTGCACCATCGAGTTGACGCATCGTTCGCCAAGACCTGGGTCGTCAAGACAGATTGCTGCGTCAAGCTCACGTCAAACTTAAGCAAGATGGCACTTGGCGTGAAATTCTCCGAGATTAAAATGAGGAGCTGGTCTCTTCCTTGACGTGGGCAAGAAAGCAAGGGGGCTTGCCGTGCGTGTAGTGACAGCGGTAGGGTACTCTCGTCTCAGCCACGAGACAAGGCTGCGCGCGCACTTATATAGGAAAAAGTTTATTGAAAAGACAGTTTGTTTCATCGGAGAAATATTTCCAATAACATAAGTTTGCGTTGATAATTTCAGTGAAAAAAACACTTGAACGATAATAAATAACATTGGAAATTATCGCTTTAACTTAACAGCTATATATCAAAGGCTACTAATGCATGAAATTTCTTATAATTTTCGCTTTTCCATTTGATCGTGTGATATTTTCTGTTCATTTAAAATCTCACCGATTTTATGACGATGGGTGACTCCATGAGGCGTCGCATAGTAATTTTAACCCATGTTAATTATGTGTGTAATATTTTAAATTCAAATAATTATGCAACTAGAGAAACTAAAAATAGGCACCATTGTATTGGATCCATTATAGTCTCGAATACCGCTTCTTCAAATGTCATGTAGAGATATTGGCATATCCTTCAAAGATGAACACAAAATTGAACGGCATTAATTAAGCCAAACGTGAATCAATTCATTTAATTTCCATTTCATATTGAGATGTTCGAGGCGCCCGCTTATTTAACGGTTCTTGCTGAGTATTCTGGAGTGTCACTCATGTCGACTGAAGTGCCGTCATGCCGAGCGCTGCGGATGCACCAGCACTCGAATGTGTTCGAGAACCAACACTTGGCCAGCGCCCGTACGTCTTCCCGCCCTCTTGGTAATGTGCTTCAACGCCCGAGCTTCATCTTTGCTGGAAAAACTGACACAGACTTAGCAGGGATAGCCTGGATATGTGGTTGTTGTGATGACGGCAGTTGCGATGTGTTTTGTTTAACTTCAAAAATTTCAACTCGTTTGGG